GCTATGCATCTTAGTCGCAGTCGGGTTCTTGCCCTTTTGGGCCTGCCGTCCATACAGACGCTTCTACACGTTGCTAGGCTGCGCCATCTCCTTTCCTGCCTGGCTACAGGGGTTCCTATCATGTGGGCCATCTTGCACTGGCATGGCCACTGGCTCGCATCGGCTCGCTCTTCGGTTGCTTGGCTCTGGGAACAGACGGATCATGGAGTCTCTACGAGCTGCTGGCAAGATGCCTGGGGCCTGTGGAAGGAGTGGTGCCTACATCAGCCGCGGCGGTGGAAGGGCCTCATTCGAACTGCCCAGGCACAGGCAATCAGGCAGGAGCTTTGGTTGTCATCCGAGAGACACCATTCTGGGCTTGTCTGCCGCCAACTGAGGCAAGCAGGGGCTTCCCTGCCGCCGGATGACCCTAGCCTGGCGGAGCAACAACACTTCTGCGCTCCATGCCTCAAGCGCTTTGACACGTATCAGGCCTGGTCTGTTCATGCTTTTAAGTCCCACGGTCATACGGCCGAACACCGTCAGGTCCAAAGTGGCACCCAGTGCCAGGCGTGCCTCCGGCACTTTACTACGCATATCCGCCTTTGCCGCCACTTGCAGTACCACCCCGACTGCCGTTCTAAGCTTAGGGAAGCGGGCTACGGCTGTAGGGTTGAACCGGGGATGGGCAACAAGCGTGCCCCTGATGAAGGGAAATTCCAGGCGCCTTCCCTGCAAGCACAGGGACCCCTCCTCCCTTTACTTGGTGCTGAATGGGTTGAGTACCTTGATAGGCCGGCCATCGAAGTCCTGGAATGCCTCAGCCATATCTCCTTTGGTCTTGGGGACGATACTCCGGCTGCTAACGTTGCATGGGAGAGAACTCGTATGGCCTTTTCCTCGGTTTGCCTCCCTATTCGCAAGATCCGGGCTACTGCGAGGGAATGGGCGGCCACCCTAGCTGGAGATACTGTAGATGACGTTTTTCCGGAGGGCACACTCTCCAGCATTGCCCAGTGGATCCTTACGGCGGACCTCGCTGATTGGCTCGTCCCGCAGCCCACAGGCACTTCCAGACAAGTCTGCACATTCAGGGATGTGGAGGAGGTCCTACCAGAGTTGCAGGTTGCCCATCTGGTATGTCCCATCCTTGCTCTCTCCCCTGATTGGACTCTTGTTAGGATTGGGTCTACAGGGTGGCTTCGGGCCTGGAGACCGGAGTCAGCATCTTTTGTGGACTTCACACATGAAGAGTGCCTCCATGCCTTTGAGGAGGGTGGCCTCCCCTCCTTCATGGAAGATGTTGGCACTGATGCTGTGTTTGTCGTTTCGACCGGCGGACTTCCCCCTTGGAAGGATTGCCCCATTCCGCCAGTTCGACACCGGATCTTTCATTCCCGCTTGACCAATGCGCTCCTTGCTGGTGACCTGCTCAGGTTTGCCCTCCGCCTTTGGCTTTTGGGTGTTCCTGTTGCTCTTTGTACAGATCAGCATGACGTGGTACCTGTTTCAGTCGCTTCCCTTCCCTTCATTGCCTCCTTCAAGGCTAGTTGGGGGACTGTCTGGTTCACTAATGTCTTCACGTGGGAACCTTTTCTGTCTCACCTGTTTAATTAATTATGCAACCAACGGGCTGCAACCGCGCACGGAATCTACGCCCGAAATGTGAGAAATGTGAGATATATATATATGTGTGTATATATATATATAAACATCTATCTATCTATCTATCTATCTATATCTCTCTCTCTCTCTGCCTCTCTCTCTCTCTGTGCTCTCTCTAAAGTCCAGCCTCCTTGGTTTTCCCGAGAGGCGTTGTCGCAACAGGGCCAGGGCCAAGGCCGGCCTCCGCATGTGCCTGTGCTGCCGGAGCAAAAGCGACCCCCAACCGACCGAAACCGAAGCCGACGACGGGAAAGCGAAAAAAAGCGAAGAAAGCCAGTTCTTCACGCGACTCTCCGCGTGAGGCTTCGGCCTCGGCGATGCTAAAAACATGGCCTCGCCCTGAGTCCAAGTGGGTCAACACCTTTTCTTCATCTTGACAGGATTTCGAATGCCAACAGCAGCGATTCAGCAGCAGAGTGTTTGCAGTTGCCGAGGTGCGGTTTCGACCGGAGAGAGGCGTCTGGGAGGTCGTGCAAAGCGACACCTCCTCGCACCTCGCAAGAACCGTCAGTGAGAAGTGGACATGTGCGTTTGCATTCAGTCAGGGCCAGCTCATGAATTGAAACTGATGATGCTGGCGGAGCACGTGCTGTCATGCTGCACGCAATCAGGTATCCGGGTCTCCCGTGCTGCTACCAGACACGCCTTGTGCAGTTCGATGCGAAGCAACAGGACTTCCCTCGCAAGGCACATGCACCCTTCCACAGAGTCCGATCCGCCGAAAACCCGGAGACACCGCAAACCCGAAGAGCAGCCTCTGCTGATCTCTGCTGTGCAGATGCCCTCCGATGCCAGCATGAACGGCTTGCCGAAGGTGCCGCACTTCCATGGGATGTACAGTTGCAGTGCACTGTCGGCTTCATGTTCGCGGATTGGTGCTCCGTCGCAGGTCCGTCGACCCTCCTTTACTGAGAGCCTTCATGGAGGCCGGGCGGCCAGTCAAGTGTGGACATGTCGACTCTAACTTCTGCCTGAGGCGCCCCACCTGGAGGAACTCTCTCCTCAGGTCTGCCAGGGTGCCGTGCTGTGCTGTTTGGCGGCTTTGCTCCTGAGACAGGCCCTTGCAGCCCGAAGAGTGCGCAGAGTGTCAGCTCCATCCCAGGCAGGGTTCCGGCAGTCGTAGTCGCTTTGACACGGAATCTGTCACCTTGCCGGGCCAGTCTTCTACTTCACCGCAAAAAGTACCACAGCCTGCTTTCGCAAGAGTTTCATGCACAAAATACAGGAAATTCTTGCGGCAGCCTTTTGACAGACACCACCCCGAAACCAAACTTCGAGTACCGCTGTGACTAGCGATGAGCATATCATCCGCCCTAGCCGTAGCCATAGAAGCCTGCAGAAGCCTGAATGATCAGCACGCGAGGCTCGCTGTACAGTGAGAGCCCCGTTCGGGCGCGAGCGAAGCCGGCCGAAAATATGCAGGAGAGATGATGAGCGGGTGGGCAGGGTCTGAGAGTCATGGTTGCGGACTCCCAGGGCGAAGTTTGCTCTGTCTTACTTGGCTGCTTCTTTTGGGTTTCGTAGATGCTTCGCAGATGTGACGCACACGGCAACTCCTCTTTCCAGGACACGATTCAGGAAATTCCGGACGACATCGTTGTTGGTTCTGGCCTCTACCTTCAGGTGCTGAACATGCACAAGGACGCATGACCCTTGATGGTGTAAACTAAAAGTAATTAACCAGGTGCCTGAGCTTGCATTTCCAAGTCGCAGCGCAGCAATCTGCACAGGATCTCCGCTTCCGGATGGTCGCAAAGGAGCGGGTTGAAACCATGGTTTGTTGAACTGGGGTAATCCGTCGCCACGTGGCGGCGTAAGCTGTGATTCTGATTATGCCAAGTGAAGCATCCGAGTGTTCTTGATCGACTGGGAATGTACTGCCGGACCCTGGGCAGCTCTAGGTGCAGCCAGGCTTTGCACGGCTTCATCCCTTTGTGCCGACGGTGTGCGGGCAGGAGTCATCGGAGAAGGCTCCACCTCCTGCTTCTCAGGCGCTCCGACTCCGCATTCTGTCGTATGTATCCGGGACTGACGTGTGCTGGAGCCGGCCAGAGTGCTGTCACAAGGCCGTGGCCTGTTCTTGTGAAATTTTGCTGTGCCTTGGCTGCATGTGATGAGATGATGCGAGGCTTGTTGAGCAAGCACAATGCCGGGGCGACTCAGGATCCGCAACATCAACCCCCTGACGGCGACGTACCAGTGCCGCTTTTTTGTTTTCATGGAGTGGTTTGATCCATCTGCTGTGGGAATGCCTCTGGGAGACGTGTCGGAGGCTGGGGACTTGCAACCTTCCCTCGGCCTAGACAGCAAAAAGACGTCTCTGTCTGAGTACTGCAACGACGTGCATTCGCTTCCAGCGCAGGAGAACCGCAAGAAGCTTTCGATCCCAGAGATCGCTTTGCAGAACACGCTGAAAACGGGCAGTTTGACTGGCATTTGGGAGGGGCTTCCGTGAAACTGGTGAGATCTGTTCCGAGATTCCAGACTGTGAGAAGCACCTGTGAGGCTTGGAGATCCACTCCCCGCCGGAAGTCATCCACAGTGAAAGGGGGCACGTTGCAGCAAAGATCCTCTACCAGGTACGTGCGCAAACCTGCGGACTCTGCCAGATATGCCATGCCGTGTCATTTTGCGGCTCACGTGGTGCCGAAGCATGGCAGGCTGTCATGCAAATGGAAATTGACATGCGGCTCTTCCCTTTCGACACCCAGAGGCTCAACATCGTCCTAGGCCGGCTGGTATCGGATGGTATCGGAATGAACGGCTGTTGCATGCAATGCATGCATCTGGCGATGTAGTGGTTTCGCGAAGCAGCGCTCCAGGACTTCGTGCTCGCCGGGATCGTGACCGCGCAATCTTTTGCAGGTGACTTGCAGTGACTTCCTGCTGCGCAGAAGTGCTTGTGGGTAGTATGGCTTAGTATGGAGCTGGTGCGCAGGTTTTGCCATTGCGACAGCCAGATTCGATTGGATGAATGGAAAATCCTTGGGGAGTCCCGGCAATATTATGTTGGCAAGCCGAATCAAAGACAAATTCCCGACATGCCTGGGTTGTCGCACGGAATCCCGAGGTTTCTCAGGTCTCTGTCTTGATAGTGAGGATCTCCACCCATGCACATGTACTCGTAGCTGTGTCGTTCCAAGACAGAAGGTTAGCTTGCACGCCCCTCCTCCGATTGAAATTTTTGGCTTCCGCCTGGCTTAGACCTTCTTCGATTCCGATCGCCCGGATGGCCGTGCTCGGGTGCAGTTTGGAGTGGTCATCGGACGTGACTCGGCTTGGCTGCCGCAAGTGTAGATCGTAGAGATCAGTTCCGCCCTTATCCTTACACCAGCCCAGGTGGCTACATGTACTACGTCATGAACGTGCTCATCACGCTGTCGGGCCCTCGGCGTTCCCCTTGCGTTGACCGTTCTGTCCAATCGTGCCGTTTCTGCAACCAAGCTGATCTGGGTACTCCGTGTGGTCTGTGTCGTCTGCCTGTCTGCGTGTGTTGGTGCGTGACGGTGCGTGTTATCATTGTGCACAGTGCCAAAACCTTTGGCGGAAGGATCCCCGAGCTTCACGAGCTGAGGTGTGCCATTGCGTCCTCCTCGTTTGCGGGCTACTTCCTGCAGGCCTGGCTGGGGTCTGTGGGCATCTGCGAGTAAAGAATGCTTGACTGAAGTCTTCTTTGTGACTCAAGGCATGCCCATGCATGTAGCCGCAGTGTAGCCAAACTTTGTCCGCGGCTGTTTTTGGTTTTTGCCGGGCCTTCTCGGCCCTGCGACGAGGGGCCCCTTCTTGAATTAGTGGCAAGTCCAGGTCGCACCTCCCTTCGACCGCTTGCGGTTTGGCGTATCGATCCTATTTGCGCAGACCACTTTCCGCCGCTAAGCCTGCACTGTTCAGTTTTATCATGGTCGCGTGAGAACCTGAGGGCAAGGCTTGGATCCAAGTAGGGTCTCCTGCCATCAGGTCTATCTATTGACAGCAAGTTGCCTATCGTGGCATATGCAACAGCTTTCGACCACTTCGCTATGTGCTGCCAATTGCTCCTGCTGTCGATGATCGTTGGACATTTGGAAGCAAAAGAGCAAGTCTGCAAGCGCCTGCAACGACATGGATTTTGTGTGGAATGGTCAGGAGATGTTATCGTGGCCATGCTTGCAGACAGGCGAGTGAAAGCAGAAGCATCAAGAGCCAAATCGAACCGCAGCTTTGAGCAACCTATTCCGGCGATACCGCTGGCAGGTGGTTTCACTTTGGTGGCATGGAAACTGCCAGACTTGTTCCTCGGACTAATGGGGGTCTTGTTCTTCTTTTTCTACATATCTCCCTGTGCAGCATGAGCCCAGGTTGACAAGGTCATCCTCTTCACGTTGATGCCCATCTGGAGCCTCACTGGATCGAGTATGATTTTTTTTGAAGTCCGAGTGAAGGTGCTTTAGTCTGCATGCAATCGCCCTCGAACCCGGGCCCAGGCTTCTGGCTCTCGTGACCTTCAGCATCTGGGTGGTGAGGCTCCGTGCTGGGAGAAGGGGCTCACTTTGATGTTGCGATTTGCCAGGACGCGGCAGAAGACTGCCCAGGTCCGGGGAGGGGTTGCGGTTGCCGAAGGCCGAAAGCCTGAGGAATCCTGGTGAATCCGATATGCGAAGGCCCAGGCGCTTCTGAACCACGAGCCGTCGTCTTCTGCCGTCTCCACTTCCGCCGAGGCCCACCCCTCTGCTCTTGACTGGCCTTACTCCGCATGCCATGATGCTTTGATCCGCCCGTGCTGACAAGTTCTTGCAGGGAGCAGCGCATGGAGACTTCTCGGAAGAAGCGATGGAACAAGTTGCGACTCGGATCAGACCCAGGTTGGTGCAGCTGCCGGTCGAGGAGCCACAAAACGGGTTTAGGACAGCCTGTGAATCCAAGCCCTGACTCAGTCCAAGCTGAAGAATCGGCTCCGCTACACATCGGCGCGGCGCCTGTCGCCGACTATGCAGCACCTCTCGAGCGAAGCGGTGGCTTCTCGACCTTTTCTGGGTCTCCGGGCCTAATGGCATAACCTGCTTTCGTCACTCCCGCCCTGAGGTTGTGTCGGCGCTTGTCTGGTTCCTCCACGATATTGATCCTATCCAAGCCCAGTACGAGTGCAAGCGCCTTGTCAGCATGGTCATGCAATCCTTTCCACCCCTGAATGGTGAACAGAGCCGTTCTCAAGAAAACGGACGCGCCAAGTTTTGAAGCAAATCGGATGTGCCAAGTTTTGAAGCATCACAGCGGAGTGCATCCACGAGGTTCACTCTTTTCGTGGAGTGGCTGAGCCAAGAAGCAGCTGCTCGGTTGCAGAGCCGGCAAGGAAGCCTTTCGTCCACATGCTGCACCACGGTGCAAGAGCGGTGCCAGCGCAAAGCAAGCCGCCAGCCCAGTGCTGTGGTCAGCTTGTGAGGTTGGGATGAAGGCTGGTACTCGACTTCCGCAGGAGGACCTTGCACGTCTGGGCCCTGACCAGCTGTCGCCGTATTGACAGATGCTCCTCTGCCCGTACCAAGGCCACAAAGCACCAGAGATTGACGTTCACAACAAGGTAAGCCCAGAAGGATAATGTACTGAACTTCCGCACTCTTTTCGGCTTCTTTGAGTTTTTCCTACATTGCCTCAAGCGGCTGACATCAGGATTTTCTTGCAGAAACCCACTCCAAAAAACCAATCTCTTGGGTTCAGGTGGAGCTCTCAGTGGAGGTTCGTTGCACAGTGTGTCGGGAGCAGCGGGTACTGTAGTCGCGAACCCTGAGCTTGAAGACGGAGTGCTCGGAGGGCTTTGCAGGAGAAGTGCGAATCGCGCTGTGTTCTTCTGACATTGCAGGATGGTCCCAGTGCCATGGTGGCGGACTCCGAAACTGGCAGGACCTGTCCTGTGCAACATCAAAAGACGGCTCCTCTGGCTTTCAGCCAGAGGAGCCTGTCGAGTCTGCAAAACGGCTCTTTGGAGCATCGCGTAGGGTTGATGAGGGCAGTTCTGCAACAGAGGATCGTGATGTGCACTCGCTACATGGCCAAGCTTCAGCTGCGGCTGAAGCTGCGGCTCCCTGGCGCCAATCGGAGCGGGATCCCTGCTTGAGAGCTGCCCTTAGCCTGGCCCAAGGAACTTTCCATTCGACTGGCAGAGTCTTCCCATCGACTTTACCATGCCGGCCGAAAAGGCTGGGCAGAAGGGATGCTTTTGTCGGAGATTTCTCACGGTGCGAAAGGTTCGGCTTCCAAGATTTAGTCTGAGCAATCCTAGCCCAATGCTCGTTGTTGTGCGCCCAGTTTGGCGTCCGAGCCATGTGACCCGCCTTGGCCTCGCCCCAGCCCAGCCCCGAAATGCAGCTGCAAAAGCAGAGTCTCTTTTGGAACCCCTGGTGCCCTGCTGAGCCGGACCCGCAACCGGGCATGATCTCTGCTAGAGTGTGAGCAGCGGGTCGACCAGCAAAATACAGCGGGCCAAGAAGGGGATTCCTCGAAGCCTCGCAATGAACAGGCTGCCCAGAGAGACAAGCATCAGCAAAAACCTTTGCAGTTTGCTGGAGTTGCTCAGGACGTCAACCGAGCCTTTGTCTGTCGCTCGTTGGAGCTGCAGCCTTTGGCCAAAACGCTGGACGAATGGACCTTCCAGGCCTGAACGGAGGGTCGCAATCAGCGGTGCCAGGTGGGGAATCCACACGTGCTGCGAACGCGGGGCCCTGTCCAGGGGACCTGGACCTCCTGCGACTTCCACGAGGGGATGAGCGCTGCCAGCATGTACATCGAGGCGCAGCCGGGAGGGGTCTCGGCAGGGCAGGCGAGGCTCCAACAAGGAGCCACTGCGAGCTAGCATTGGAGGTCATGAACGTGCACTCACATTTGTTTGCCATCGTAGTCTTGAAGTATGGAGCCCGACAGCTCTACTCTGCAAGGTCAAGAGGAGGTCCCAGTACTACGTGGTTTCCGTGCTGGGCGTGATGCTGGGAATCTCGAGTTTGGTTTTCACAGCAAGACCCCCAGAGTACAGGGGCTTCTTCTTGGTGTTATTGCTGTTGCTGCTGTTGTTGCTGCTGTTGTTGTTGTTGTTGTTGTTGTTGTTGTTGTTGCTGCTGCTGTTGTTGCTGCTGATGCTGCCGCTGCGGCTTCAGATCTCGCTTATATGGAGATGAGCTTGGAAGAGCCTTTCTGGAGACTCTATTGTCAAGTTTGAGCACTCCAGGTCTTCGCCATCAAGGTGGATACCGCTGGGGCGGGTTTCGACGATCAAGGCAGCAGAGAGTCGGGAGTTCGATCAGTTCGATCTTTCGGTCTCCCGGTTTGCGAAGCGCGGCAGGCAAGATCCTGATCTCGCTGCTGATGACCCTGCTTGCGTTCAAGCTGCTGACTGCCTCAGGCCTTGCCGTACGGTAAGCTAAACAGCTAAGGCACCATCTGCCGAGCGGCTGTGATCAGGAGCATGTGTAAAGTCCACCGCAGTGGCTTGGGCAGGCAAGATTCCCAAGGTGGCCAAGGCCACTATCTTTGACCGCTATGCTGCCTGGCGTGCATCGAGGATGCTTTCTAATCGTGAACTCGCTGTCGCATCCTCTGTTCGATGCCCAGGTTTTGGCGACCGAAACCTGCTTTTTCGCCACAGTGCTCTCCTGTACCCTGATGCGTCTCGTCATCTCGGACCCAGGCACGCTCACCTTCGCAGGATTTCTTGAACAAGCCATCCTGTAATCCGAGCACATGCCTGCGCAGGCACGGCAGCCTTCTCGATGGCGCTGCGTGGAGGCTTTTTTGCAGTCCTGCTTTGTGCCACGGCTGCAAGGCAGCTAGCGAAGCGATGCGCCTAAGACGCGAGCCACCTGCGAATTACAAGGTTCCTGGCTCTTCTTCAACCTGGCCATGGTCTTCAAGGCGGTCCGGCTGCAGATGTCCGGTGTGGACTGTGCGTAGCATTGCTCGCTCGGGCTTGTTCCCTTGAGTTACAAGACGGCAACGTGGATAGGAAGTTCAAGACACTTTTGCCAGATTCGTCGCTCCAATACCTTGGCCAACGCAGAGATCCTGGAACGACAAGGCCTCTCATTTCGCACGGGCGTGCCAGGTGAATATGACTTGAGCGTAAAGCCCCACCCAGCAGGGAGCAGGGAGAGTCGCAGCGAGCGCGGTGTTTTCTGGCAGGTCGCCGTGGTTCTGTGCACGGGCCAGGCGCGGGGGATGAGCTTGAAGAGCCCTGCTCACGACATGACGGCGAAAGCTTGCGCTGAAGGCTTTGACGAGCAAGCCCTCATCATGTCTCGGCAGCTCAGTCTAGTTGGGATTCTGAGGCGTCCGACTAGTACACCTCATGACGGTAGCCTTGTGCACGATCATGGGGCTTGGGTTTGGTCCCAGCTCAGGCAGCCACGGACGCCGGAAATAGCTGTCGACCCACAGGCACAGCGCAGATGTTGTTGGGCGAACACTGACCTGCTAGTTAATACGCCCTTTCGGATTCGGATGGCTGGGATACTAGTACTGCTGTGCAAACGTTGATCCAACCTTGGGTGGAGATCTGTATTGAAAGGGTCAGGGTCTGCGCGAACCACTGGTGGCGCTTTGCTGCCATTCGATGCAAACTTGGGCGGGATGACAGCGAGTGCGAGTGGCTTATCGTCAACAGTTATTTTCCCTTGCTCAGGCCGTGCTGCTGGAGGTGAACTTCCAGCACGTTTTTGGAATCAATCCGGCGGCCGCTAACTTTACCTGCGTCTTCGAGGTTGCTCAGATCAATGTCTTGCTTGAAAGCCTGATCACAATTTCATGAGCTTTTCTCACCATTGATTAAGCAACAATCTCCGGCTTGCGTCCTGTCGCAAGGTCCGAATGGCCTGGCTAGATGAACGTGCGAAGGCCTGCTCGAGCGGCATGGCCCTCGATGCCAAAAGGCACAATGACGGAAGAGTGATGGAAGATCTCGCATGTGGATCAATTCGCCGTGTAGTGTATTGCAGGTGCAAAGAGTTGGGCCAGCCAAAGCTGACGGTCCAGAACGCACAGAGCCGCCCAGCAGATCTTCAGAGCAACTCCCCGTAGTTACTAGTTATTAAAGAAGGTTCGTTTGCACCACCTGTAAGGCACGAATATTACTTTCCTGTCCGGGCGGGTGATCGATGAGACGACTGGAAGCTCGGCCGACAGGGGTGTCAGCGTCCTCAAACGAAGCTTTGGCCTCGGCACTGTCACCTAAGGACACGTTACCTGCCACCTGAAGATCAAATCCCAAGTGTATCTGATGTTCAACTTGTCGCCGCTCAGCCTGAAGATGCTTGCCTGAAGCTGTAGGATTTGCCTGGCAATGACGAGCTCAGGAATTTCCCATGGGATCAACAATCGCTCTTTGCAGAAGCTCGGCCTTTTTCCAATGCCGTCTTCACATGCTGTGGTGTAGAATTCCATAACATTATATGATACTGTCTTCTCGTTTGCCAGTATGTCTTTGTGCGCTCTTGTGCAGTGACCCGTATGAACGCGGTATTATTTATCCAGCAGCTACTGCAAACCGTCTTCTAACCGGTAAGTCGCTTGTCAGCAAATTAGCGTAAGGCAGAGTCTGCGTGGGCTCAACCACACTACCTCTTCTCACGGATGCCATCGTGGGTCGATGAAGGAAGTGTGTACAATGGCATGTGCGGTACGCTTTCGCTCCGGGGTGGGATTTTGTTGCTTGTGTCTTCTGCTTTCCTTGCATTGTGCTTGTCCCGAGCTTCCGGTATCGTTTCCGACATGAGAAGAGCAAGATTGCTGTGATTCATTGGGCCTGGGTTTTTTCTGGCCCCTGTGGGTTTTTTTTTATGCCCTCACCCCGTCCGGACGGAGGGTTCCTTTGGGACAGTGTGCACATCAGGAGTGGTGCAGACGGACGGGTCCCAAAAAACCTGGAAACATTTTTGGCGGGTTCGAAAGCGACCTCGCAAGTCGAGGGAAGGTCCGAAAAAAACCTGCAAACATTTTTTTGGGGGGTGCGAAATCCACTTCACGGGTTTGTGACCCCGGTCCCAAGGGCCCTTTTGCTCCCGGTGCGCATGCATGCAAGGTCTGCTAGCATCCCTCGAGGGATGCTCCCATCCCCTTGTGCCAAGGGTTCAAAAGGCGCCCTCCACGGGGCTCTAAAAAGCCGTTAGAGGCATGGCAAGGATTTTTCTAACCTCCGTGTGGGCTTCTGCGGCCCCTCGCGGAGTGGCGAGTTTGCCCCAACAACACGATAGCCGCGCCCTTTTGTAAGCCGTGCAAGTGCTTTGTGCTGTGTGACTACACCGTAATATCGAGAACAGAATCCATATTGCCGCTGTCAGAACTCATAGAACTCAATGTGCAGGTACATTGTGTTTGCAAATGGGGGGGGCTGCGCCCCCCCAACCCCCCCGCTTTTTTTAACTCAAGCACCGATTTGATATCCAAAATCAGCGAAAACCCTAGGAGGCCTGGGAAACATGATTATTAAGACTTGCATGTTCCCATAGCGTTGCATTTCAGAGCCCTGGAACTGCAACCACCGGCCGAACCCTGATGGAAAAGGGTCCCCCAGCCGAACCCTGATGGAAAAGGGTCCAGTGTGTTAGCACTGGGATTCCAGGGCTGGCGTAAGTCCTGCGAGCCGGGGACCCATCGCGCGCGATGAAGGTAGCAGTCATAGTAGCAGCATGGTAGCACTCGTGGTCTACGGGGACCCCGGGGGTTCGGCTGGTTGGCATAGTCCTGCGATCCGGGGCCCCATCCAACAGCCTTGACCATCCAGTGGGCTTCCAGGGCCCGAAACAAGACCTTATCGCAAGCACGGCATGAAAGCAACCTTTGCGGAGGCCGAAAAAAACCTCGGCAGGGTTCGAACAAAAACTGGTCCAATGGGGTTTCAGGGCCCGACAAAAACCTTATGGCAATCACGGCATGAAAGCACCCACCCCTTTCGGGGGTCGAAAAAAACCTCGGCCGATTCTTCATTGCAATTTGTCATCGTGACCGCATCTGTCTGTAGCCGAAATTCAAAGTACAGTAGAATCTGCTGTACTTCTACTGAGTAGATGCAATGTCGTAGCAAGATTATGTCTATGTACGAGCATCTACAGCACTATATAATGATGCATGTGGTTGTGTTTGCACACTCCTACTTTGAGCTTGGACCCAACATCTGAGGTGTTGATGCTTCCGAGTCACTCGGACCGCGCACGTCACATGGCTACCCGACTCAAATGGAGTGGAGCTTGTGCCGCGGTGATTTCTGCAAGCTACTCTGGGAGCTATTGTTCGTGCAGATGTGAGTGTCTTGGATTTAAGAAACTTGCTCTATCCTTTCTGCCCAAGGTCCTAACGGACTTGCAAGCCAATGAAGACAAGACTGCCAAGGCCGAGTGGCTTTGCGCCTTTAGGTCTGGAGGCCAATTCCAGGACCCCCCGAGCCGAAACAGAGGGCCCAGGTCTTGAGACTGAATGATCTAGGCTGGACTGCTTTCGGCAGGGTGCCGTTCCTTTCCCGAGCAGTGCGCTTCCGAACCCTTCTGTGCGGTGCCAGACGGGCGAGTGGGCTGAGCTTGGCGTCTTTGGTGCTTCCTACCGCATCACAGGCCCGAAAGCTTTGCAGTCGCACAGATGAATAAGTTGGTTCAGCACGGTCGACTCAGGCATTTCGAAGGCAGTTTTTGGGCTCGAGATGCAGCGGTGGCTTGGCTTCACGGCCGTTCACCCTCGCAAAGGGCCAGCAGCTAGTTGTTGGCGGCTCTTCTCATAGCTTGTACTGTCGAGAAGCCATGAATCACCAGGGCGAGCTGTATGTAGCAGGATGGCATCTGCTGCAGTCGTGACTCAATCCCGTGTAGCTGCGTAGCTCAGTCTCTCAACTGCAGTCTGCAGTCTGCAGTCTGCAGATGCCAAGCGCCACAGCACCACAGTTGAACGATGTCAGACGGGATTTGGACGCTGTTGGCTCTTTTGTCCCTGTCGGGACTCAGGTTCTCCCGGTACTACGTGACAAGCCTGCTGTCTATGTGCCTTTGGTCAACCTTTATTCTCTTTGTCTACGCCTTGGATGTGCCTCTCGGAAGCACTATACGGAAGGGTTTGAGGGCAGCATGGCGACTCAGCTTGCATGAAGCTCCGGAATTCCCTGCGATCTCACACTGCAAGCCCTGATGTTTTCACAGTCCGGACACAAACCGGAAGGAAGACCGCTTATTAGCCTTGTTCAGAATGCCTCGGGCCCGTCTCCTGACTTCAGGAATGACTTCAAGGATCGCGGCAAGGTGATGGTGGGTGTCCTCGTCGTGCAGAACGTGGCAAAGGTTTCGCAGACTTTGGAATCTTAGGGAAAGGTTCGAGCTGTGCTAGTCAGGTTCTGTCGCCCATCCCTTGCAGGTCGCGGTCTCAAGCAAGATGCCCCGAGTGGTCTGCATCACGGCCTACGATAAGGTGGCCTTGAACAGCCAGCGGCTTAGACTGTGTGGCACCTTCCCACACGTCTCCCATCCCCCCTTCCCAGACGCTGTCAGTGAAGGTCTTGGCCTCCTCTTCAGCATCGGCCTCTTTACGGCATTCCTTGACGCTTGGCAGCATCCGTCGCCCTCCTGAGACCGTGTTGCAATGGCGCTGTTTACGAGGACTTCCTTAGCCAGTTGGAGCTGCAGTGGCTCAACTTCGAGGTTGGGGAAAAGCAGCTCTGGGTGGCATTGTGCAACTTGAGCACCAGGTGCTAACCATCGTGGATCGAGTCGCTGGTGCGCTGTTCTGCCTGACATGGCTGGCACTGAATATTCGGGCTTGGATCTTGGTCTTGAGTCGAACTGCATCGCACGGGGCGGATGTTGCTTCAAAGCTCCGAGGCCATTTTGCATGTGCGCCGCAACTCATCCAAGGCGGAGCTACGTTGCCTAAGTCGAATGCGAAACGCTTTGACGCATTTTGGCACAGATTTCTTAGCGTGCGCAGGCCGAATCCCTGGGCCTCGGCCGGTTGCCACGCAGCCTGTCAGGTCACCGCCAGATTTCCTGATGTGCAGGATGCACTTTGATTGACCACCCCCGCGAGGCCTCACACTGGAGGCTGACGCGGACCCGGATCTCGCAGAGCAGCTCGAGATTCTGAGAAGGTGCGGGCTGCATTTTTGGCACATGCCTCCCCACGTGCTGGTGCCATCTGGTGTCTGCAGGCCGTCGGATCCGCTTGGCAAGAGGCCTCTCAACACTGTTCGCAAGACCAGCAGGCCTGAAAATCTGAAAGCATCGGCGCGAGCAGGAGGCAGGTTCGAGCCACGCAGGTCATCCGACGGATTGGGTGGCATCGTGACTGTGAAGCTGGGGGTCGTCCGGCTGCAGGGAGTTTGGTCAATGTAGATTGGTTTGCTTGCGGCTGACCATTTCTGCATCAAGCGGTCCAAAAAACAGGAATCCCTGTCACAGGCTTTGACTCTAAGGTCAAGTTCTGGCTGGTGTCGGACATTGATGTCGCCGCCGCGAGTTTCATGGCCAAGTTCCATGTGATCATGGAGTGGGTGGATCAGGTGGGGAGCCGTCCCCAGACACCGAAATTCTGAAGCTTGAGAACCCGGGAGGCCGCGGTGGGCATGCCGCAAGCCACCCGCATTTCACACAAGGTGGGAGGGTCTTAATGCAGCTGTTGCTGCTACTCGTAGCAATAGCATACGTAAGCACGAACGTGATGCCACATGTTGTTTTGTCTGGAAGAGTTTGGGAATGGTCGGCTGGGGCTAGGCATACCGGCTACAACCTGCCTGTCTTGGCAGTAGCAGCAATTGTTGCACCAGTGGCAAAGGGTAGCAAAAGGTGCGAATCGAGTTTCATTCGCCGACACCCTCAGCCAGGAGCTCCAGAAAGCCGGACCCGGTCACATCGCCCCGAGCCTGAACAAGGGGAGTCTTGAGAGAGAACGGACCAGGGTGGTGATTTGGGCTTACGGTGTTTGGGCATGCGCGATGGCCACGGAGCTTGAAGTGCCGTAAACGGAGACCGGTTCATAGCCTGGGGGGCTTTGCCGCATCCCGAACGATGTCGGACCTTGCTTCGGCTCAGGTTGTGCCAAATCTGAGCGTACGAAATGCCATCACGGTTGCCTTGGAAGAGTACTCGGACGTCATCGCAGCTGGGCTGGTTCGGGGTGTAAAGTGTGGACCGATCAGCCGCAGCGACAGGACACAAGGCAGCTGTTGACAGGTACAGTGGAGCCACATTGTCTAGCAACTGAACGGTCTTGCCTTTCTGAAGCACTCCAGCGTCTTGCGCTTGTTCTGTTGGAGCACAGGTTCTGGACGAGAAGACGGGTCGCATCACGTGCCGTCTGCACATCAACGCCGTCTTCCACAACGAAACTTGAGCGCTGTACGGTTGGACTTGTCGTTCAGTGCAAGAGTTGGGGATCCACGGTGCTGACAGTGGCTGAGGACTACTGCTTGGACAGCTTCCCCTTCGACTGCATCTTGGCCTTGAGGGAATCGCTTGGGGTGGTAACCCAAGTCAGAACGTCCCATTGAGACGCCCTTGAAGCAGCCTTGACTCGTGCGTCCAGGGACAGGCAAGTCGGGTGATGACGTACGTCTTTCAGTCTGTCTCCCCCAGTGGAGTAACGCAGGTTCAGGGAACGCGGGATGCTGCTCAGCACACGTGATGTGGCGAGGCCAGCGTCTGGTCGTGGAGATGCAGCTCGTAGACTGTGAAGGCCGTTCGAGTCCTGATCTTCCGTATGAGGGCAGCAGCATGTCGCGAAAGTTCGTTCTACGGGGCACAACACGAGCTGCAGATCCGACAGTGGCACCAGCACTTACCTTTCAACGGCGCGGTGCTCCAATCCCAAGTCTCAATTGCATGGAAAGCAGAGGAACAATCAGCGAAGATGACTAGGAAGAAGGCTTTGTGCAGCCTCCTGGCGCCAGGCTTCGAGCTGGCCCCCAGCTTCTGTGATGCTGCTGCAGGGTCCTCAGAGCCTGAGCCGGTGTGTCAGGGCTTGATCTTTTCCAAGCTTGGGGGCCTTGGACGAAAGGGCACCGGAGGTTGATGCCTTTTGCAAAATTCCGTCCGGGTCATTAGGGGGGCCTTTTCTTTCATGTGCGCCGCTCCCAAGCCAGAGCTTGTAAGCCTTCTGCTTCTGCTTTCCAGGACCAGTCCAAGAACTTGGACGGCTGGAATGTGAAGGACCCCGGGCCCTCTTCGGTCCCTCTGAGCTTCTGAAAATCGTCCCCCTGATTGCTGTTACGCCGCGCCCGCGAATCAATTTGGGAGGCACGAAAGGCCCCAAACCGGCGGTTGCTTCCTTTGGCGCCCTCCGTGAGTTTCCAGTGCCGCTGCGAATCACACCCGGCTCCGGCCTCGACAGCGGCACAACGCTTGACAATGCTCGTTGCGATGCCGCTGTCCATTGCCCGGTGACCGTGGCTCTACCCAGCTTGCGAGATGAAACTGGTGACCTCCTGAAGTGAGGGGTTGGGCACACCTCAGCTGAGGGGTGTCGTTCGACGACCAGCATGGTTTTTCCATCACTCCGCATTCATTTTGTTTGCTTACTGTCTGATTTGTTTTTGTGCTCAGGCTTCATGTCCGGGTCACATTGTTGAAGATGAGGGAGTCATGTACAGCGGCAACCAGTGCATAGCGGCTTAGGGTGAAGTGCTTGTGGAATATCTCCACCGGCCTTGCAACCCTAAGCGGATCATTGCAGTTGCCATCCCAGCCACAGTGGTCCTGACACCTTGGCTTTCGAGGACTCGGTGGTTGCGCTGGCACCTTCCTTGGAGGAGAGTCCGAAGCAGAAAGTCAAGGCCGACCCGCCGAAGGATAGCTCGTAGCAATGCCAAGCTCTGAAGCTCTCAGTGTGTCTTGGACATGTGGCGCTTCTTTGGAGACACCGAACTTTCCTGGCGAGCTTGTGCATCCAACGAGAACCTGAGTACTTGTACCTTCTGTGCTGCTTCTGAGGTATGTCTCCTCGCTGAGCGTCAAGCAGGTTTCTATGTCAAGCAGGCAGTAGTTTCGGTCTGTGCAAGATGTTTGCCTGCCATTCGCTTGCCAAGCTCATTGCTGCTGATCAACACACCTGCACGGACTCCACGAAATCATGCCCTTAGTCGTTGTCCCATGTTGTTCCCAAGCCATATTGGACCATCTCGCCTTTTGCACGGTCTGCCGCAGTGCTTTTGCGTTCCTGCTAGTCGAACTCCTGCAGGTTCTCAGCATCTACTGGTTTCTGTCGACATTGATGTTCTCCTTCTTCGTCCTGCCGTGACTTGGGCGTGTCAGACCGCTCCAAGAATGCCTCAACTTGCGTACATGTTGGCGAAGATGGTGTGCGGGAGAGCGTGGAATGCGACTTGCTGCGGCGATGCAGCATCCGAGGTCGTCAGAATTTACGAAGAGGCACGGATGGGTGGTCTAGTACCCTGCTTGTAACATTCAGTTATTCAGCCTGGTTTAGGGTACTTGTGGGCATCTTCAGCTGTCTCCAAGTTTTGATGCTGGTAGCGAAGCTGAACATAGGATCTTCCATACGCCAGGTTGGTGGATATCTTGAAGATTGTGCTGACTCAGACCACCTTTCGCTTTTCTGTGGAGCATCGTCTGCCCAAGGTGGCTAGGCCGGCTAGGCTCGTGCAGACAGAGTATGACAGAGCAGCATGTTTCCTGAGTGCTCCTTGGTTATGTGCGGCAGCTTGATGAGAGCAATCCTGTGACCATTCTTTAAGCTTTTGGGATGTCGCGGTCGTGAAACTCGGTAAGGTGCAGCATTGGACACCCTTCGACATCTACCTGATCTCCTGCCAGATGCTGGCATGCCTAATTGCATGGCACCAAGATTTGAGCGATGTTCCAATCTTCTCACAGGCCACGAAGCTGTCGACATTGCTGTCCGGACAAGACTAACTCCCCGAACTCACGCACAGCATGCAATGCAAGGCTAGTGAGCCGTGGGGCTGCGGAGGGGGAGGTGTTGAGTTGTGTCGTGTTGAATTGCCTTGCAAAGCCGGATAGCTGCAGATTGCGGAAAACCTGCAACTGTAAAACTTCAAAAGCTCGGCAAGTGGACTTGGCCCGTATGGTCGGGACTCAGGTGGGAACGTTCATGGGATGCTACTATTTGAGCAAAGACTCCAGCAGAGCATGCTTTCTCCAGGACCGGAATGTGTTCCGAGCCCGCTTGCTTCCAGGCTTTTACTGCACAGGGCATGGTTTCTCAAGCGCCTTAGCCGTCGTAGTAACACAGGCGTGAGCGCGTCGAGCGTCCGGGTTCAATTTCCTGCCTCCTGCTCCTCCTACTCTGTCTCTTCACATTGTCAGCATCCCTGTCAGCAGTCACATACGAAACCATCTTGAGGCTAGTCTGCTCCGCTCTGAGTCAAAGTGGCTCCTGCTCTTTGAGAGAGGAGATCGAGCGGGCTTTGCTGGTCGGATTGGCAGCTCTATGGGCCACTCAGAGCCGCAGAAGCCATGTTGTGAGCCGCGCTTCTCCTACACCAACCTTCTGATCTTCTGTTCATGCAGCCTAGGTGTTGTGGAATCTCTGCTTTGTGCTCTATGCCATCCATCGCAAGAAGCGGCTCGGAGGGGAAATGTAGCGGAAATAGCGGTGGGTGTCAAGAGCCAACATCTTGATTTGAACCAGGGCTCGGTTCTCATCGCCTGCTCTTTAGCCAAGGTCTGAGCTGCTCGGGGCCAGGCTGGCGTTTCTTGGACTCTGTACCCCTTTCGGCGCTTGCTTTGCGCCCTGCATTTCGCCTTGCCGGATGGTTTTTTCTGCAGCCGAGGATGAGATCTGGTCTCATCCTGCCGCAGCGCATCAGCTCAGGGCTGCTGCCGCGCTTCAGCGACTGAGCACGGAAGAGGGAGAAGCAGCAGGGAGGTTAACGTAAAGGCTTTGCCTCGAGCTTTACGACTCCTGTCGGGATGTGCTAAACACGCAGATCTACGTTGGCTAGGGATTGGTTGACGGTTTACTTCCGAGCCCCTGTCAGAAGTCACGGTGCCTCTGACTTTTGTTCTGACATCTGTTTTCTAGCCGCAGCGGTATTGGTACAGTGTGAAAGTGAGATCAGCAAGGGTCGTACAGTTTGCACATCTCAGGCCGTTCCCCGCGGCAACTTTCCTCGGGCGAGGCCGGCGCTTACAAGATCTTACAAGATGCTTTACGAGTGCGAATTTCTTTTGATTGAATGGGTGAGTTTTTGGTTGCATAGTTGAATAGTTAAACAACGTGTGACACCACGCGCATCCTTCCGGCCAGGCTGGCCATGGCTTAGGAAGTGTCCCCTCGCGCGCTTTTTCTCTAACGATGCTTTGTGAAACCAGTGCTGGAACACGAGAGGAAAGCACAGCGTGATGATTATCTGACTTTCAACAGTGAAAGAGCGGCAGTCGCGGCTTCGTCAGGTCCAGCAGGTTGAGAGCATGACGCCCGGCAACAGGGATTCCGAGCTGCCCTTGACACCACAGTACTCGCGAGGCCTGCGAAGACTGGGGTGGTTAGGTGGAGGTGCTCAGGTCAGCTATTGGGGTGACTGCATGGTACCATCTGGTTTGGCATAGCATTTGTGTTCCTGCTTGCCCACGCTTGCGCCGATCGCAAGTGCTGGAACGAGACGAGCTCATCTCGGTTTTGATGAGTAGAATGTTTGTGAAGGTTCTGAGCTCCGCGCCTTCACGAACCAGGATTCCAAAGTCGGGGAGACACAGGTCGGGTTCGTCGATGTTTGTCAATACTAAAGCAGGCCCAACACCATCAACACCATCGATGCCAAGTCAGGTGATTTCTATTGCTTTCCGGATTTGGCTGATCCGCAATGTGGACCTTGTGAAAGCCACCTTCGAGTGCAAGTTTCGTGTGTTCTTAGATACCCGACAGCAGCCGGAAAGGTTTATGTTGCATCGCTTGTTGGGCATTTCTTGCCCTGGGAGCGACAATCTGCTCAGGAATGGCTGGACGAAAACGCAGTAGGCCTGGAGAAGGGCAAGAAGGCGCAGCAGTTGAGCAAACGTTCTGGTTGAGCGGGCCTGGGTTGTCATGGAGAGTTGCGAATGCCTGGTCTTCGAGCGCAGACCTTCTGCGAGGCTAAAGAGCTGAAGGTTCCATCCCTTGCCATCACGTGCCTGGGCAACCAAGTGCAAACGAGCTAACTGGATGTAGTGTGTATTGCATGTGCCCAGCACAGATGAGCTCTGTCGCACCAAGGAACGCCATCCAAGCCGAGGTGATCGACAGGACGGGACTGGACGGGACTCTGGGGCGTGCTTTAGAACTTCAAAGGCTCATGCCATCGGCAGCGTGTGCACGCCTAAGCCAAGTCTCGCTCAGCGAGGAGCTCGGCTCCCGAAGTTGTGAACCCGAAGACCGGGCATGTGGCCGTCGCGCGTCTGCACTTCATGTCCAGTGTATTTTTCTCAGAGCTTTTCATCAACGTCTTATCATGTCTGATCACTTCATGACAACCTTCGTCGTCTCCATGAGTGCATGCAAAAGTTGTACATTACATCCTTTTCCATCCTTCTGTCGTTTGGTGGAGAAGGTCCTTGGAGCGGTTAACGCACGGAGAGACCCATAGATTTTCAGTTTTTATCATGGTAACTTTGTTTTTGCTTGCACTCTTGCATTCTTATCTTGAGAAATGATCAGCACACGAAAGACAAAACATGTGAAACTAAGAGAAGTTGAAAACACACGAAGCTCCAAATAATCGGTCCCTGCGCGCCGAAGCAGCTCACGGTGCATGCCGGCGCATGCCAGCACAGGTTCAGATGCTGTTCCGCGCAACGCTGAGCCCGGGGCTGAGGGAAGGCAGAAGGCTTGGCAACTACATGACTCATCCTGCACATGACCAGGAATGGACCAGCAAGTGCGTCACTTTCCCTTCGACTGCCAGTGGCTGGCGATCACCGTGTCTCTGAAGGCTCGGCGAGTAGTGCTCCCCCGAAGCCACAGTCTGGATATTATGCGTCAGGAAGAGGGATGTGCTCGCAACCGCTCCTTCCTCTTCCAGTACTGCGAGGCTCACTTTGGCACGTCGTAAGCTCTAGATATGTTCGCAGCATGAATGTTGGGGCACGCAAGAGGTCCAAAAGGAGCCCCTGCCTGACCATGCCATTTCCACCCTGTTGTTCCTTCTGAATTGTCCTGTGTCGTATTACATGCCTCAGTGAAAACTTCCGTGTTCGTTCCCTTGTCCAACAAGGTGGATGAGGGCCTTTCGCCACTCGGCCTCAGTCCAGCACGGCTTTGCTTCAGGAAGTAGGCGAGTTAGAGCTGTCCATTTGCTATCATTTGCTGCAATCTTTGGTTCACCTTGCTTCTAGAGTTTCCCTCGCAATCTCCGAGGCTGGATGAGTGGTACGTCTGCCCAGATCCTGCATTCAGCACACTGACAAAGCACGATGCCCCAAGCATCCAAGACACGGCCGCTCGGATTTCAATTCGACTTTGTGGACCATGTCCCCTTGTAGCCCGTGCCGCGTGAGGTCATGTGCGGCCTGCTCATCCGTCGCGCCTCCCGCTACTACGCCTGGAGCCCGAGAGTGCTTCTGATTCTGCTTTGCTGCTTTGCTGCTTTGCTGCTTTGCTCGCCATACGGCCCAGGTGGTTAACATCATGCTTATGCTCGGCCTCATCTCCTCAGTGGCCTTTGCTATCTACACGGTTGCCTGCCAGCACCAGTGAAGCAAGCGTGCACGTCTGATTGCGATGCCTCGCCACGGGGCAAGTCCCGTCAGCATGTGGCAGCCTTGAAGGTGGATGTCAGCCTCTTCTGGGAGCGGGCAGAGGTGGGTTTCGCCAAGACGCTCTCTTTATGTGCACTCAGCAAAGAGAAGGTGTTCCTGGGCATCTTTCCGCTCATCGTCGTCTTCAAGATGTCGGCACAGGGCAAGCTGTCGGGGCCTAAAGGTGCATATTTGCCCAAGTCGAAGACGCTCGCAGTTCTGCCTGTTCGGCCACGCTGCTTTTCTGCAATTCCAGGCCGAGGGTGGGCTACTCCACGAAGCCCCTCGGCCAGAACCAGCAGCCGCCAGCCATCGAATACTGTTCCGCATCATGGCGAGCACTTTCCTGCGAATCGGACGAGGTTCGACCACTTTGCAATGGCATGCCAGATGCTGTTCCTCATCATCGTGATGGGCTGCGACACGGAAGCATGTTTGGCATGTCTCCGACAGAGAACGGGAGAGACCGACCCCCTTCATAGTCTCACACAGACCCCACCCAACGGACCGGAGGCGTAGCGCATGCGGGCAGGTGACAGGGACCTGGAGTCCTGACCTCGAAATGTCCCGAAGGACGGAAGGCATGAATAGTGAAGAGAGAGAGAGAGAAAGAGAGAGAGAGAGAGAGAGAGAGACAGAAGTCACAGCCCAGTGCCCAGCACAAAGACGTCACAGCTATTGCCCCTGTTGTCCCTAGCCCTGGCGAAACAAAGTCACAGCCATAGTCGACGAGATAAGGCGAGGTTCCTGGTCCTAGTGTTCTAAATTAATAGGGGATGTGCGGGAAGCCTCATCGAGTAGCAACAGACTCAGACCGAACACGCGCGCGGGGGGTACGGGTGTCCGTGCTCCTTTGGCTGTGTGGAAGAAGAGAGAGAGGAGAGAGGAGAGAAAGAGAGAGAGAGAGAGAGAGAATCAGACCTTCTGAGACCAGTGCGCGTGCGCGCGCAGGGGGAGCGGGGGTCGTCCTGCTTCCCTTCGGCTGTGTAGAAGAAGAAGAAAAAGTGCGAGAGAGAGCGAGGGACAGTTCAGGGTGGGGATCTGCGACAACCACGCGTCACAGAAAGCTCCAACCGACGGGGGTGACCCCAATGCCTCCTTCTTTCGGGAACCAGATGGGAAAGGGCGGCTAGGCGCGGGCTGACTAGTTGGACTCAACCCTGCTGGGAACCCGCCGTGTCGTTGTAGAATCCGTTGTGCAGCAACCCCCTCAAGAAACAAGGGATGCAAGGGCTAGCGCAAGGTCCATGCTGAGAAATGTCCGCAGGCACGGGGACCCGCATGCACAGTTTCCCCTTACGGTCGTACGTCGTTGAGTGCACTCGCGCGGTGCTGTTTCCCTACCCCTCGGGGACCTCTAGCAACGCCATCGCAGTCTTGCAACCTGCTAAGAAACGCCGGCCGACAAAGTTGCAACCTACCATAGCCGTGTGAAGCTCGAAGAACCCATGGGGAACAGAGTGGTGGCAGTCAATTCATGCTCTGCCTTGCGTCTGCGAGGAAGCTGGTGAGAGACCGGCAGAATGATTAGGGTAGCGTTACCTGTCTGGCTTAGCTTTTTCTTCAAACCTGGGTGAAACCTCTGGCAATATACAACAGCTGGACTTGTCTCTTGCGATCACTCAGAGGCCGCGTATACTTGTATACCAATGCCTTGCGAGGATAGAAGTCTGCCAGTCGAATCCTCATCGGCCCACTGGAGCTGTCGGTTGGTTGTACACCACTGTTCGTCCGGCAGCTCCACGAACACTGCAGCGCTGTCACTTCCATGCTCACTTGCACATACTGCGCGGGCCACTGTCTCGCACACAGAAGCACTCGCTCTTGACACTACCTGTGAAACCTCGAATCAATCGCAACTCCTTTTGATCCTGTTCCGTTACATATTAAACCGAGAAGAAGAAACGGGCTTTGGTCACGGTGTTCCGATCAAGGACAGTATCGGTCACTGCCCTGACAACACTACATCCACGCACTCCTGGTGCAGACAGCGCGATAAACGAAGGCTAACCCGGTCAATCGCTTACATTCAGCTGCAATGAAACAGGTTGCACTCCAGCTACAGGCATCGTTACTTCGATAAGATGTGTTTTTTCTGTCTTACCATTAGAAGTTACAACGCAGGAACGTTCTCAGGACGTTTCCCGAGAATATCAGCATGTGCAAAGGCTTCTTTCGTTAGGCTGGCGACGAATGCGCCTGTCCAGCTCCTGCGCTGACGGCCCCAAAACTGCTTACCCTAAATGCCGCGGGTTTGGAGTCAGACTCATACCGCGGGGAAGGAAGGACGGAAGGAAGGCACGAAGACGAAGTGCAGCTAGTTTCACCCCGACCCCAGCTTGACTGCTGCTCCTTGGCTGAGTGGAAGGAGAAAAAGAGAGGGAGAAGAAGAGAGAAAGCAAACCAAATCAAGAGCTCTCTAGGTATGGCTGCTTCCTTCATCTCGAACATGCCCGTTTGGTTCCACTCCTGCGCGTATCTATCCGCCGAGGACATGTCGTGATCGCTTCGACTGCACTTGTTGCACGTATTTCTCGCCCAGCGTACTGTGTTTCTGCACGACTTGAGGATCTCACGGATCAAGACCTCGCAACCATCGACCTCATACGTCATGTGGAGCACATCTGCATGTTTGTCCTGCTGCTTGGCATGCTTATGCAGCTTATGCATGGCCTCGCACCATTTAAGATGCGGAGAGATGTGCACGAAGGTGACATGAAGCTCGCAAAGACATGCAGACTAATCATTAATCGGGAACAATGGCACGACTAGTCAAACTATCCGTCCTGCAAGGGTGGGCCTTTGGATGTTTTGGATCGGGCGGTCGAGAGCTCAGTGACCGATATGTTCCGGCGCGTCTTCCAAGCAAGGCCTAGACTCCGACTGTGCTTCAAGGACCCACCAAAAAGCCCGGAGAGCAGTCCGACAGTTTTACCCAACAGCATCCGGAATAAGTAACAGCCACCAGGAGCACAGGGCCTTTCAAGAAATAGGGTGGTCTGGCCAGAGATGAGCTTGCTTTCCCGCAATCCCTGACATCCCCCTCCTAAGTCCGAAGCGACGCTTGAATCCTTAGGTTCAGCTTTTTTGCTGTCCGCACTTCGCGGCTGCAACCCGTGGATGGGGTGCAGAGCAGCGTAAAGATCAAGCTTCAGGCACTCCCTGCATGGTGGTGTTAGTGGTTGTGGCGGCAGCAGCCGAGTCAGCAGTTGTCGATTGTGAGCAGTCACGGCAAGTGTAAGCTGTAGTGGTAGTAGTGGTGGTACTAGTAGCAGCAGAAGGAAACGAAAGCACCGTGTCAGAGCAATAACTGAACATCCAAATCAGCCGTGATAGCTTACGCCGGGCCTTCAGCCGACACGTTTGTCGGAGACGCAAGCAAGGTTGGTGGTTTATTCGTGGGTTCGCGAGTACGATGCTCAGCCACCAGACACCGGAAGTCCCGATTAGAAACTCTCCAGAAGATTTCTTTACGCGATAGGACCGGTAGGAGCCTTGAGCTCGCTTCAGGGCCTGTCTGGTGATGCTGCGCCTGCTGCGGGTGTTGCTGGTGCGTCGGTCGAGGCATCAGACACTCTCTTTTCGTTCATTGCTTGAGGTCTTTCGGGAAGGTTGTGATGCCAGGAACTGCACAGTCTAGAATGGTTCGGTTTGCTGAATTGTGGAGGTGAAGGCCGATGTTCATTCCAACACGCCCCCCAAGCAACGCACCAGGGACTGGCGCCAAGTCTTTCTGTCGTTGCCGAACAAGAGAAGACCCGCCACTTCGCCGCAGTATGTGGGGTATTCCACGTTCAGGTGTTGATGATTTTTGGGGGGAACCAGGCAAATCTAGGGCCTTCACTCAGCCAAGACTCTCACAGGATCAAAGGGCCGGCCTAGCCTCCTCGTGGCTCTGGGCCTCGGCGATGACAAGGCGAAGTGAGAGGAGGCCAAGCATGCTCCATTGGGCCAGGACGATGGATATGGAGGTGGTGGTGGCGGCGATGATGATGATGATGATGATGGCATGGATGACTCTGATGATGTCTGCCATGTGCTCTGAGAGGATGATGATACATGCGGGTGCTGCTTAGGACTTTGCTGCTGCTGTTGCTGCTGCTGCTGCTGCTGCTGCTGTCGATTGAGGGGATGCTGAACGGAGACAATGGCGATAGTGCATATGAGATGGATCATGAGGATAACGACCGGGAGTAATACTGTGTAAGCAGCGGTAGTAGTCGTCGTCGTGGTCGTGTCGTCGTCGTCGTAGTAGTAGTAGTGGGAGTAGCAGTAGTAGTAGTAGTCGTCGTCGTCGTCGTCGTAGTAGTAGTAGTAGTAGTATTAGTCGTCGTCGTAGTAGTAGTAGTAGCAGCAGCAGCAGCAGCAGCAGCAGCAGTACCAGCAGCAGAAGCCGGAGCAGGAGCAGCAGCAGGAGCAGGAGCAGGTGCAGCAGTCGTAGTCGTAGTAGTAGTAGTAGTAGTAGTAGTAGTAGTAGTAGTAGTAGTATTAGTCGTCGTCGTAGTAGTTGTAGTAGTAGTAGTAGCAGCAGCAGCAGCAGCAGCAGCAGCAGCAGTACCAGCAGCAGAAGCCGGAGCAGGAGCAGCAGCAGGAGCAGGAGCAGGAGCAGGTGCAGCAGCAGCAGCAGCAGCAGCAGGAGCAGGAGCAGGAGCAGGAGCAGGTGTCGTAGTCGTAGTCGTAGTCGTAGTAGTAGTAGTAGTAGTAGTAGTAGTAGTAGTAGTAGTAGTTAGTAGTAGTAGTCTATCCAAGTTAGCGGGGGTTCTGCTCGCCGCATGGTGTTTTTGCTGCTGACAGCTGTGCACTGGACTGGTGCCTCACATATTCTTTTTCTGCGGCACACGCTTTAGGATCTTGGCTGCCTTCTAACGGGGCCCTCGGGCCGGGGCATGCCAAGATCCTTAGCGGCTCCCTCGTCGTCTCCTGCGACTTCAGGTGACAGCAGCTCCTTGCCTTCCGATGCTGAGAGCCCTGAAGATCGGGACCATCCCGTTACTCTGGATTCTGAGAACGACGACGGGTTGCTGAAGCAGAAGCTGCAGAGGCCAGACGGTTGCTGCTGGAAAGCTTTGTGCGAGCCGCCCTCTTTGACCTCTGCATGGTATACTGGGTCTGTCAATGCCTGCGTGGCCGCGCAGCGACGGAACCTGCAAAATGAGGAGCCTGGGTGTGCTTACGCCATCTTGGCGCCCCAGATGGAGCAAGGCTTGTTCCAACAGCTGCATGAGGATTATGGGGTTCTTGGAGGGCTCTATGATCAAGGAGTCCGGGAAAACGACGTCACCTGGATCAATGGGATTGGAGGCCCGACTGACCCACCCAGACATGTGGCCCTGCAGCATCTGGAAAGGCTGGCGACGAAGCACTTGCGCAACCGATTTCATGAGGACACACTGCGCATTCTGCTGCCACGCCTCCTCGACTTGCTGCAGAACAAGATTATGCGCTCCACGCCGCACCTGCTCTTCCCCCTCCTGGACGATGATGGAAGGAGAGAGTTTCAGCAGTGGTACGCGGGTTACGCAATGGGCATCCCGCTCCCGATGGATGAGGACGATGAAGCACAGGCACCAACAGCAGCAGGAGCCGGCGCTGGGGCTTCGAGCTCTTCCGGTAGGACGTGAGCTTGGTAAGCACCTGCGACCAGGGCGTTTTCGGGCGGCGAGGGCGAGAGCCAAGCGAGGCAGGCTGTCCTCCGACGGGAGAAAAACTAGTCGTCTACGACGTTCCCTGAGCAAGCGGCTTCGAGGACTGAGCGAGATGATTTGTACAGTTGCTTTAGTGGGCAGTGCGGTAGGCTGGTGGATTGCCTTCCTAAGCCCCCCCTGTACTACCCGGAAGCATAGTCGCTCTCTTCAAAGCTCCCCCCAAACCAATTTAGGCCGCCTTGGTCCCAAGTCCAAGGGCGGCTCTGCACTCAGGCCTACCGTTGTGATGTTTATCACCTGTCTTTGCCATCTAATGCAGGTAGGAAGAGCTGTCAGGGTCACAGACGCGAGGGTAGGAGGCTCTCCCCACCTGGAACCTCCTGAAGTCAACATTCCTAGCCATCATAGACTTCCGGGTTGGACAAACCCCGACGGTGATCACCATACTGTTCCTGTAAAGACGGCTCGCAAACGTGCATTTCAAAGAGCCCAACGCCGCGCTGCCAAGCATGGTAGCACAGCCAACCCGTACATCATCAAAAGCGTTTTCACTTTTTATTTTGGAATGCCTCAGGACTCACAATTGATAGACATGGCGTCCTCAGCGGCGCAACACATTGGCCTTGTTGCAATTCAGGAAACCCATTGGAGGCATGCCATGGAGTATACCTCTGGGCGGTTCTCGGCCGTTCATAGTGGGGGCAACAAATCAGAAGCGGGCTTGCTAGCTCTGATAGATAACAGACTCCACCCACCACATAGTGTTTTCCACCAGGATATCATCCCCGGCCGCCTGTTGCACATCAGACTAACAGCCACAGATCCTTGCATCGACGTTGTCATGATATATCAATACGCGTGGTCAGTAGCCAAGAACCGATCTGCTCAGGAGCACAGCAAAGAAGCCTTGTTGTCGAAGCGTGCTGAGGTGTGGGCCAAGCTGCATACACTACTGAATAGTCTGCCTAAGCGTAATCAAACCCTTCTTCTGGGAGACTTTAATTGTAGTTTGAAATCGCATGGCAACCTTGTAGGCCGCGGCCTACTGCATCACACCTCTGCTCATGCCAGCGATGCGGACATGCTGCAGTCAGCTGTCGAGCAGTTTGAACTGGTCGCGTTGAACACGTGGTCCAGGAAGGGCCGATCTGCATGCACCTACGTGCCCGCAGCAGCCAGGGGTCATAGTCGGATTGACTTTGTTATGGTTGACAAAGCACAATGCGATCAGGTAGCTCGTCAGACTAGAGCAGAGCAACTTCCTTTCGTGCCGATTTCCGGGATGCGCCATCTTCCCCTACTCGGTAGTGTCAAGCAGCCTAAGAGACCCTCCTGCCCTACCAGCCACGTCGGCATCTCCAGGCGCACCGTAGAAAACCTCCAAAGGAAGGATCCCCACATACTAGCGCGTTTCAAACTTGCGACAGAGGCGCTTTGTCAACTGCAACCGCAGCAGCCGACGGATAGGTTGCTGGAGCTTGCCTGGAAGCAAGCCCGAGGAGCTAGCCAAGGAACATCTTCTACAGCTACCGTAACTACTTCAACACACGGAGGTTGTAGAAAGGCCACTACAGTTACTCAGCTTTGGCAGCTTCGGGCACGCGTTCTCCGCTTGCCTCAGAGGGGAGGCTTGCGCTGCTACTTGCGTCTTTTGGCTCGCGCATGCCCAGCTGCAGCGGCATCAGCACTCCAAACTTTCCAACCCACAGGTTGCAGAACGGTTGTCACCCTGTTCTTGCATACGATTTTGCGGTCTGGAAAACATACAGCTTTAACAGAAACAAGTGTGTCGACTCCGAAACTGACAAACAAAGCCATCTCAGAACACTTTGGTTTTTCAAACTCTTTGCCTGTTAATGTGTTGACCTCCAAATGTTCAAAGTTTGCAAATGTCTTCTGAGTTCCTAGTATCTGGATTGAAGCTGGATTGAATCTGGCTTCTCAAAAATGTAGAAGGGATCAAAAGCCCAACGCTATGTTCCGATGAAAAGTGCTGCAGTACATTCTAACATCAGCTCAGAACAATCTGCAGGCAACATAAAAGGGATAAGGTCACGAATATCTTGTCCGATGCTGCAGCGCAGCCGCAGAGCCTGGTGACGGTCTTTCGGGTGCTTAAAGTGCTTGCACCGCCGACTCCAAAGCGTCGACTGCAAATTCGCACCGAACAAGGCCTTCCCTGCAGTCCCCTTGAGAGCCTCAAGCACATCACGAAATACTTCCATGATCTGCACCATACGGACACCACACCGTTGCAGCTCACGTGGGAAGAGCCGGCTACGCCGCTAAGTTTCACGCTTGATGAGGTGGCAACGGCCCTCAAAGGCTTACCAGCGCGAAAGGCACTACCGACGGCAGTACCGCCTGCCATCCTGTGGAAGGAAGCTGCACTCAGCTTGGCACCCAAGCTTACTCTGCAAATCAACAGTTGGCTGTCCCAGGCATGGCGACCACCGCCAGAATCATGGCACATTGCAGATGTCTTTTTACTACTTAAACCGAACAAGCCTCCATGCCCAGCATCCTTGAGGCCC